CAATGTTTTATTTATTACCATAAATACTAGTGATTTACTAGATCTGCTATTAATTAAGTAAATGTCCAAGAATTATTGACCTTAAAAATACTGTCTATCAAAACCAATGTGTGAAGGATGAAGCACCGAGGCATGAACAATGATATATCGTAACAGCATTACCAAGTATTTTTTAACACCAAGAACATTTAGCAATTGCTAAATATGGTCTAACGAACAATATTGAAAAATGTTTTTAACATCAAACTATGCATTGTTCGAGATTTATTCATAAACATTAGTTCCACTACTTACATACTCATGGACCTTCTTTTACGTACAGTAGGTCAGAGACCAATAAACCTCATATATTTAACGGTGGCAGCGATAAGTCCGTTACAAGTACTGCAATAAATGTATAATCTTTGCACGTCAATAAGCGATACTGCTATATAAAATTCTTGATAAATAGACAATATCTTTTCAATTATACGTTAAATAAAATAATTTGCGCATTTTCTTGCGTCGATTAAAATTATCGAACGATGGCGAATAAATTAGGGTAAAGTATAAATTGATCCATTTTATCTATATGGAATATACGATTTAACTACATCGAGTCTTTGTTGAATTTAGTAAAGCCAGTACCGTTAATGTCGTGAAATGAAAAAAAAAAATTAAATAATTTGCGATATAATTCACGTTCACATTTTGTGTATATTAGTATATACTTTTTAAGAGTTTTACAAATTACGTAAATACAAATATAAATTTACGTTTAAATTTTCTAAAGTTGATTCGATTTCATAAAATAAGAGATAGAATTAGAAATTCAAATATTTTATCATTTCTAATCATACACAATGCTTAATGCTAAAAATGTGAAAACAATTTCACCATTTATTAGTCAAATGCATTATTTTTTATAACTTGCCTACATTAACTATTATTCCTATAAAAATATAATCTACTAATAATTATTTTCACTGATTTAACTTGTATGCATTAAATTATTTGAATAATAAATATATGATAATAATTAAAGTTTCAGCTTTTCGCCGAAGTATTAAAAATGACCAAATTTAAATTTACATTTATTTATAAATTAAAAATACGATGTTAATAATAATGTACACTATTGATATTTAAAATATTATCATTATTTTTTTAATGAAATATGTATATACTAATTACATTACTAATTTACGTTAGCTTAAATGTGTGTGTGTGTGTGTGTGTGTGTGTGTGTGTGTGTGTGTGTGTATTTCAAATTATATAATAAGTAATCGTCGTACAGCGAGTGACACAGTTCAATTAATTTTTGTATCCAATAATTTTTATAGAGTTGCTCTAATTTGTATTGTAACTGATTTACCAAGGCCAAACTAATAAAATATGAATAATAATTGATAGAATCGTTTGAATCATAATCTTCTGAATTTGAAGACCTTTCTCATAATATTTTAACACATTATTACAAACATTACAAAGTAATTCATTTGAGAGTTTATTATTCGTTATTGTCATTATCTTAATATATTGAACTTATGGATTCTAAGATCTTTTTAACACAAATATATATATATATATATATAACGATACTTTGCTTATTGATTCATATACCTTTAGGATAAAGCATTTTCCATTAAAAAAAAAAAAAAAAAAAAAAACCGTACAAGATATTTATATGAAAAATAATATAAAAAATATAATGAAATTATAATGAATATTATATTGTTTGTTTGTTACAAATCTAACAATTTTTATGACTTAATAATAGGGTTATACATTGACTGATCTAGTTTTGCTATTTTTGTCGATGCTTCACGGCTGTATGGTCGATATTTTTAGTGAATTGAAAAATAGAGTTAATTTTTATTTGTACTAGTTGAAAGTTGAGTTGAAAAATATTAGTACAATAGCACGTATTATATTAATGAAAATTTAGACAGCAGATACTATCAGATATGAAGTTCAACATAACCCAGAGATTAAAGATAATTCCAATCGATAACAGCATATTTCATAACTCATGCATCAGCTATAAATATCAAGTAAGAATAATTGTAACATATTTTGAAAAATTATCTTAATAATATGTACAGATAGATAATAAATAGATATAAGATGTATTAAGATCTAAATTAACTACAACAAATCACATTCCTATGTAAAGGCATTGTTCAAGATGATAAACAATTTTTTTTTTTGTTCGTATATAATCCTATAAATTTAACAAGGCCAAGCATTCTTTTTATGCATGCGCATTGTAAAAACTGTAAATAAGGTGAAATTTGAAACTCAATTGAAATTATAAAAAAGATAAATTATTTAATTGCGATATAAATTAAAAAATACAGTCCATTTTATTGTATTTCTCTGTAAGTGAATGAGTATCGTATAATTAATGAGACATTCTATTAATTTAATTAACAATTTATAAATTATTAATTTTATTATTTATTTAATCCGATTATCAATGTTTTTGTAAAATTATACTATTATAATTTGTATGAATAATCGTTTATTAATGAGAAAACTCGTTTTAAAATCATAATCTATTTTTAGTATCATAATATTTTATAACAAAAATAGTTTATTAATAATTTTATCTGACTAAATATATTATACAATATGAAAGCTTAAGTTGTATTGGAAACTATATAATAAAAGTATGACTATATTATATTATGAAACGAATAATAAAAAACGTGTATAAAAAAACGAATTCAAAGCACAATTAAATATAATTCAATGTTATAGTAAAATAAATTATCACATTATGGCATTCGTGTATTCGTATATATAATAGTGATAAAATAATTTAATTTTGCATAAAATGAATATTTTCCATACTTTTCTATTTATATCTTCAAATTAAATATCTAAATTATCTAAATCTTTTCCAACTAGTTATAAAATTCAAAATTGTAAAATTAAATTTTTATTTTCTTACAAAATATATTAATTATAAAACAAGGTATTAAAATATTTATAATTTTCAAATAAAATATGTTTATGTTTGTGTTTTTATTTTACTATTTTTCTTCTGTTTCTAAAATATCAAACATTCATTTCTTCGTATATAAATTATTTATTTGTTGTATCTTCTATGTATATGAGAATTTTTAATTAAATTTAACGATTTTATACATTCCAAAATTGTCTACTATGCATTTAGTTTTTATAAATGGATTTAATTGTTCTATTCAAAATTGTTAATTTGTTAAATTATCTAATCAAAATTGTTATATTTTTCTATACTATACTCCAAATTATTATCGATAATATATTTCTGTTTATGTATTTATTGAGTCAACTACCATTTGAACCGTTTTTTTTATTTAGAAAATGTTTACGACTGAATTGTATACAATTTTAAAACAATTTATTTTATTTATAATTTCGATTTAAAATTTCTATATTAATTATATTTTATAATACAAAAGCTGTAAAAATAATATATTGCTTATTATTATTATTATTATTATTATTATTATTATTATTATTATTATTATTATTATTATTATTATTATTATTATTATTATTATTATTAAGTTGACTCTAGTTATCAAAAATTTTCATATCCAAAAAATAAATATTTACCAAGTATACGGCAATAAATAGTCATAAATTGTACGAAGCAATACGAAGGCTCGAAATAAATTGATGAGCCTTCATTTTACGATCTTATTTCGCAAGTTTTCATAAGCCGGAGAATTTTATGTATTCATATGTGCGTGAATCGTGTAAACGAAAATACCGAGAAGTTTCGTTTATTTGTTTTCGTGTATAATTTTATATGCTATTAGACATGACGATTATACAGTCTCTGTATAACTTTCTGGCAATCGCTAACACGTGATTACCGCACTATCTAAAGTATTTTTCTCCCGACATTTTCCAAAATAGACTTTTCCAAACGTGAGCAGTTGCTCTTTCATTCTTGCTGTTACGACGACAGCGGAATAAATCCTTGCCAGCCTAGTGATAAATACGAGCGTCACCATATCACTACATGGATAAGTTCTCCTGACAAAGCCAACTATATCCTGGATGTTAGTATCGAAAGATTATCAGACCGAATCCTGATGTTGATGTGACCGGATTATTGCTATAATTAGTTATTTTTCGGATAAGAGCGAAAGGATTCAAGAGGGGCTAAAACTGACGTTCAGTAGCATCTTCTAATACGATAAGTAGCATCTTATCGTAACGAGTGACGTTTAGTCTTGATATGAACGAAAGTATTGTAGTCGCTGTTTATCACAGTTTTTGCACATTCCGATTATTTCGCCATTTCATTACGAAATTCGTGTTTTAGATTTTTCGTGATATTCTTGCCTAGTGCGATATCGGCATGAATACAAAATTAACAGATTAATATTTATATAAATTGACGTGAAATTTAATGGCTCTTAGCATTATCGACACTTGGAAAACTTAAAAATGCTAATAAGAGAATTTGTTTTAATAATTGTATTGTAATATTATTTACGCCGATTAAGCTACTACCAATATCTATCGGTAATCATTGAAAGAGAATGTTAAATTCTAAAAAAATATTTGTATTCTAGATAAACACGCATAAGCGCGCGCCCACACACACACACACGCACACGCCACAGAGTAGCTAGCAGATATATACATATATAACCTTGTGAAAACTAAATTTTTAATATGTAATTTTTCAAATTTATATCCACTGACACATATAATATATCTTATACTAACTAAACCTTTTATAAAAATTGATTATTTTGCAAGAAAATATGAATATATTTCTTATTAATTGTATCTTTTACATTAACAAGGTTATTCAATATTAGATTAATTTTGAGTAATTAAATTTTATTACGATTTATAGTTAAATTAATTTCATAGAGATTTTTTTTATGAGAATTTTGATCGTAGTATTTTCAAAATTACCAATTATTTCATTAAATTATAAGAATATATATATATATATATATATATATATATATATATATAGTTTAATTTTAAAAAGGATACTACGTAATTATAATTTGATAGTAGGATTTGTAAATTAATGTTTTTTGCTTCTTCCTTTAGCTCGTGGTGTGGCTTCTTTTTTTATTTTTGATTGTGAGAGATTCGAATGCCTAAAGAATTTTTTATTTTTTTCCTATAGTAAAAGTAATTTATTTCATTAAATATTATTACCTTATTTAAAAGATCAATAAATTAATACTTACCGAGGATTCTGTATAAACTGTGTTCGATTGCGTTAAACGAGTAAATTGTTCTTCAAGTGTCAGTGCATCAAGCTCCTACAAATATTTAAATACCACATTACTATTTATTTAAGTAATTTAAAATGTATATTATTTTATTATATATACCAGGTCATCATCTGCTAATGTTGGTGTACAGAGTTTTTTACGACTATTTTGTTTTTCTACATTTCTAATATCCTAATAATTAATAAACATTTTTATATTAATTTTTATTGAAATAATATAATATTAGCATAAATTTTATTGTTATATCGCCTATTACTTCCAAAACAAATAGATTTGGCAAATCGCGATGACTAATACTTGTTGAAAATGTAGAGTTTCCAGCTCTTTTTTCATTTTCTTTAATTTTACCGTCAATCTTTTTGTTCAATAAATTTATTTCTTCTTCAATCAATTTAATCTTTTCTTCAGATTCAGAAATACTATGTTCCAAATGATTTATTTTAATTTTATCTTCAATTATTTTTTCGTTATTTACTTTAATTTTACTATCATATTCTTTTTTCTTATCGTCACATTCTTTAGTAATATGAGCAATTGATTCTTGCTCTTTTTTTATTTCTGATTCTATTGTGCTATGTTTTATTTCTAGATCTTCAAAGTTTTTTAATTTATCTCGTAATTCACAAATTTTCTTCTGTAAAATATCAGTTGCTTGACTTTCTGTTTGCTTCACAGACGCTAATTCATCTTTAGTTGTTTTTAGCGTTTCTTGAAGTTTTTCTAATGTACCTCCATGTTCTTGTTCTTCTTGCATATGAATTTCATCTAAATTTTTACACTATAATGCAATAGTAAGTTAATTTAACAATAAGGAAATTTTTACAAAATCTACAAAAATTATATTATTAATACTTCATTTGATAGTACGTTGATTTGATTATCCATTTCCTCTATCTTCGTTTGAATTTTATGTGTATTGTCGCTTAAAAATAAAAGTATATTAACAATAAAAGTAATAAAAGTATTGAAAATAAATATATATTATAAAAAATAGCTTTTTACAATTATTACCTGATTGTTTTCAATTTAATTTCTAATTCAGAAGAATGTGTATTTAAATTTAAAATATCTGCCTTCTGAATATTATTTTCCTATAATAAAATATCATAATATTTTAACTAATATTAGATAAGTTAAATAATTTTAAATAATATCATACCAAAGCGGATAGTTTATCTAGAAAACACTTACGTTTTCCATTTCTTTAATTTCACAAATTAAATTATTTTTTTCCTTATCAGCGTTTTCTTTTGAAATCCTATTTCTTATTTCTAATTCATGTATTCTATGATAAATCATGAAAAATTTAACATTAAGAGCTTGCAAAAATTTTTAATATATTTTTAGAAACTCACTTTTTATCATATTCTTCAATTTTCTGTAATTGCTGTTCTTTATAAATTTTGAATGTTTTTATTTCTACTTCTAAATTACTAATTTCATTTTCATTTTTTGTACTTGCTTTCTCAAATTCCTCTATTTGTAAGTTTATTGAATTTAATTCAATACAAACTATTAATACAAATAAATGTATCGTATAAAATATAAAACGAATATTTAAAATATAATAAATTACGGTATTGTTTATTGGCGTATTATATTTAAAATTATGTTTACAATTTTCATCTGGTGTTATTCTATTAAGTTTTTCTTCTAACATCGTATTTTCATTTTGTTGCATTAAAATGACATTATCATAAGTATTCATTAATTGTTCAGAAAGATTTTCATGTATATTTAGAGTATTAAAAATATCTTCTATATTTTCATATAAGATTTTTTGATACTCGTATAATTCTTCTACGCTAATAAAACATATAGGTACACACATACACACATATATACATATATACATATATATATATATATATATATATATATATATATATATATATATATATATATATATATATATATATATATATATATATAAATGAATGTATATGAATTTTATGAGTTAATTCATGAAATAAACGTCATTAAATTGATAATTTTTCATTTACATTTTAATTTATATGCATTTCAAATTATATTCAATTAATATTTTCAATTGGTTATATTATTCTTTATAGTCGTTGTAAGTCTTAATGGAAGTATCCTAATTAATTAAATTTTGTCCGTACAATTATTTTACATTAGATAATTAAATATCAATGTTTAAATAATTGATGATTTACTGTTTTATTGAAATATTTTGTTTAAAAAAATATTCTACTTTTAAATTATTACTATAGATGCAAATTATGAAATAAATGAAAACTAATTGATAAAATATTCAACGATAAAATTATTTTTCTCAAATATGTTTATGGTAAATACTTGAACAACAAAAGAATTATAATTTGTTCTAGAAATTTTAAATTAATCGTTTATACTGATGCTATTATTACTTATCTCGTAGAACCTTATTTTCTTGCTCTTTAGTATAAATTATTTCACTTTGATTACACAACAGTTGATTTGCTTCTGTTAATTTGCATATGATAATGTCGGTCTTTTTTTTAGTGTCAGATATTTTAAATTTCAAATTTTTTATTGATTTCTGCAAAATGAAGTAATTTTAGATGTTATTATGAAACTGCAACAATTTCTTTATCCATTTTTTGTTTTACTAACTTTTAAAGAGATTTCTATATTTTTTATTTCTTCCACAAACTGCTGTCTAAGTTTCGCAACGTTATTCATTTTATTATCGATAGAACTTTCAGTAGAATATCCTGAAAGTTTTGTTACATTTTGAGGCGAAGAATTTATTATTGATTGATCTTGATTCCGAAATATTTTCTGAACTTTGCACGGAGAATTGAGACTCGGGGTATGTTTATTAGCATTGTTGTCCATAATTTAAAAATTCCTAATTTATTAAATTTTAAAATATACAATTCCATGTGATAAATCATTAAATTAAATATCCATATTACTTACATAAAAACAAAATTTAATAAAAAGATTGTATTAAGCCATTTTAAGAAAAAAGGTTTCTACGAAAATTTAAAAAATATACGAATATATTCATATATATATATATATATATATATATATATATATATATATATAATACAAATTTTTTAAATATATAAATTTCGAAAATAATCCACACTTGTATTTTAATTTATATTATTAAATTTTCATATTTATGCTTTTACTTCATTTAAATTCTTATTATTCAAAACTACGAGTGTCTATGAGAAACAATTTATACTAAAATTTTTTATAATAAAAATTGGATGATATTTCGTTTAATATGTAATATTTTTCAAACAATATAATATTTTACATGAAAAAATAAAAATTTATTTTGAAAAGTTTGAAGAATACTTACCGAATCGTGAAGCAATACTATTATTAACGGTAATTTACAGAATTGAACTTTTAATTTGAAAATTTAAACGAAAAGTATAAATACCGTTACGAATGCCGTTTTTTTATCTGATAGTTAATCACTATATAGATAATTATGATATTATTTATTTTCTTATACTTTAATGTAGCTTTAATTATTTTTATGTACAAATATAATTGTTAAACTTATTTTCACAAATGTTTGAATACTTTTAATAATTTATAAATACCAGAAACATCAATTATTGAGTTTATTTTAAAAATTTACCCACTACGTACAAAAAATTTGTGTATAAGACAAGTTTCTGTCTATTCTTGGTAATAAAATGGTACAGTATGTAGGATAGAAAGTACCCATGTATTGTACATTTATAATAAATTCCAAGAAACGTGTCCAAGCTGTTTAAGGTTAGAATTATCAGTCAGCGAGATTTATTCGATTTTTATTTGATTCTTAGAAAAAGTATCTATTTAGTCAAATAGAAAGGAAAATCGTATTTATAAATTGCTGCACAAGAATGAGTATTAAAATATGTTGCATATGTGAGTTTGAAAATGCTAAATATAAATGCCCCAAGTGTAAAAAATTTTAGTGAGTAATTCTTACTTTTAATATATTATATTATAATACTCATAAATTTGCATAAAAAATAGACTATTTTCAATATTTGAAATTTTACAAATTGACAAATGTAAGTGTGAAAATTTCTTTTTTTATTTTTAGCTGCTCAGTAGCGTGTTGCAGCAAACACAAGGAAAATTGCACTGGAAGTATTGAATCTAATAATTGTGATATAGAGAATAGTGATTCAACGGAGAAAACTAATGTTCCATATAGTTTTCCTACCGAAGATACAGTTCCTATTGAAAAACTTGAGCAGTTACGATATAGCAAGGATTTAAAAAATTATTTAAAAACTTCTCAAGTTCGTGATATTATAACAGAAGTTCTGAAAGATAACAATCCGACCAAAGCTATTGCGAATGCTATGACAGAACCTTTATTCGTAGAATTAGCGGATGCTTGTCTAAAAGTAGTTGAACCATCAGAAGAAGAGAGACCTTGCTGACAATTAGTAATTGAAAAATTATATATATATATATATATATTATATGGAGTATCCATTTTTATTGAAAATATATTTTATTAAAATTAAAATTGTTTTATATCAATTTGACATATTTTTTATAAAAATATGACTTCTTGTATCGTGTAAATTTTATAAAGCGTAATGCGAAGATATGTAATATTCAAGATCATTTGGAAGTTCAATTTTATCGTGTTCTGCACCCAAAGCGCAATATCTCTTTCGAATGTAATGAGCTATTAATTTTGGTTGTCTATCTCTTGTGAAGACACCTTTTTTATTACCTCCAACTCTTGTATAAGCTAGAAAATGTTTTGTAAAGTGAAATAAATAGATTTTATAAAAGTACTATATAGTCAAATTATAATCATAAGACGTACATTGAGCAGTTCTAAAATCTGCAAAATTCCATATAAATTCTCCAATGAAGAAACCTTGAGCTTTTAACTGATCAAAAGCCTTGAAGTGATTTGAAATCAGTTCGGCTTGATACTCTTCGGACCAAATGAATGCCGGTAACTAATTTACAATATATTTTTATATCTCAAGCAAATTATATTTAAACAAAGCACAGATTTATGCACAATTGAAATGATAAATAATTGTATAATTATATATTAATTTTTTTTAGCAAACCTCAAATATCTAGCAATACGTACTTCATGTAATCCTGGCAGAGTGTCTGCACCGTACTCTGATAATAATACTGGTTTTTTATACTTCTGATACCATGCTTGGGCTTCTGATACAATATGTTTCGTTATCGTATCCAATCGGCCTGGATTTAAATACCAAGCATTGTATCTATTGAAGCTTATCACATCAAGGTATTGCCCTATTTTATCCTCCTTACAAAAGCATAATAATATTTATATATACAAATATTTTTGCATAGATGCTAGCTTTAAACTTACTTGAGGAGACTGAGCAATGGCAACGGTTATTGGTCGAGTAGAATCGAGTATCCTTGTATAATAAACTATTTCCTTAAAATATGATGTAGTATCACGATATTGGACTCTTGGCTCGTTAGCAACAGACCACATAACAACAGATGGTCGATTTTTATCTCGTCTAATTAATTCTAATATTGATCTTTTGTGTTTTTTGAGCAAACTTGAAGAATAATGTTCAGTGTCTACGGAAGGACATTCACCAATGACGAGAAATCCAAGTCTTTGCAAAAAATTTTGTTTTGTTAATTCTGGTAGTAATATAAATTAAGTTTTTGAAATTATCGATATGCTACATACTTATCAGCCAGATCTAAAACTTCATCGCTATAAGGATAATGACTGGTTCGATAGGCGTTTGCTCCGATCCACTTTAATAACTCGTAATCTCGAGCTACGGTTACTAAATCTAAACCTCGCCCTCTAATTATTGAATCTTCATGTCTACCAAAGCCACGAAAGTAAATTGGTTTATTATTAATTAAAAATGATGTACTGGTCCACTTTATGCTGCGAATGCCTATAGGAAGTCTATAAATATCTGTTTTAGAATTATTTGGTACTGATAGTGTGACCTAAAAGATTTATCTTTAATATACTATTTAATATTTATACTCTTTGTCTATTATATTTAAATAACTAAGGGCAAAACTAATTTCATTATTTAGCAAAAGCATAAATAAAATAAAATTTATTTAATACATATCCAATGCTGAATACTAAAATCAAATTACTTTGTACCAACTCATTGATTGGATTAAACTTTTCCAAAGTAGATATTTTTGAAATAATGCATATAATTTAATTTTGTACAACACTAGTAAAAATTAAATTTTTATATAATAATGGTTTTTGTAGTAAATAATATTACTTCTAATGTATAAAGATACCCAGGATTTTCACTCATATACCGAGGCCACCATAGCTTTGGAGATTTAACTTGTAAAGTGCCTTGAACGCCCAAATGTGAATCTTTAAAAGAGTATTCATTGTCACCATCAAGAAGATTTACCGCACACACTGAAGTATCTGTTTCTTCTAAACCTACTATTTCAATATTATAATGAACGATGCCAATATCATCAACAAGTTCTGTAGTAACACTTATATCTTCGATAAATATTTGGGGTTTAGTATGTAATAAAACAGGCCTACAATATTCAAATTAAAGAGAAATAAATTTATATTAATAATGTCGATAAGTTTAAATATTGTACCTATGGATTCCAGCATAATTAAAAAAGTCAAAGTTATACGTTTGTAATTTAGCCATTCTATTATTGGAACCTAAATCAACGATTTTACCCTGAGGTATAGAAGTATTAAAGAGGGTATTGTCTACAGATACCGTAAGACGATTTTTTCCACCTAATATAAGATACGATGTAACTTCTGCCTCAAAGGGTAGATGTCCTATTTCATGATTTATGACCAAATCACTATTTAACCACTAAATTAAAATAATTGCTTATGAACTTTTTTTTGTGAAAGACAATAACATCGAAAGACATAAAACATACTACTTCTGCTAGATAATTGACAGATCCAAATCTTAAAAAAATTCTTTCATTTCGCCAAGATGTAGGTGCAAAGAATGTTTTCTCGTACCAAACTGGGCCTACGTGATCTCGAAGATCATTTGATGTTGTAATATCATTATACGATGAAGGTACTGGCATTTGCAAAACATTTTTGTGCTGAAAGTAAGGTAATTGTTTTTTTGTTTGTTTTTTGTATGCTTATTTATAGTGTAATATAAATATATTTAATAGAAAAATATGATTAAAATACCTTTGATAAACTGTCGGTGTACCATTGTTCTCTATGACCTTTCTGAACATCTTCTAACGGTGGTACAACAAAGTCCCATAAACCATCAAGTGATTTAACCTAAAAAAAAATTAACAATTCTTTTATATTATTTTAGATAAACATAAAATAAACATATATAAATAAATATATATATATATATATATATATATATATATATATATATATATATACATAAATCCACTTCTTATTATTTTGATAATATCATTATATTAATTTTATTATGTAATTATTATTATTTCATTTGAACTTAGACAAGGATATATAGCCAGTTATTAATTTAATAATTTGAATTAAAAATAAGAAATTATAATAAATATTTTCGACGTTTGCCATTATTACTTGTAATGTACTTGCAATGAAGATATGGTTTTAACCTCAAGACAGACAAGTAGTTCAATTTTGCTAAACAATATTTGAAATGTAAATAATCAATACCTCGCGATATTCACTTTCTCTTGGATAAAGTAAGCCTTGATATTTTATTCCCAAAGCACAATCATCTTTTACATTTCCAAAATATTTTCCAAACATTTTTCACTTCCTATATCAACTTTTTATATAATTTCACAGCTGGAATAGAACGACTCGCTCAGGATATACGAAACTGACATATATTTTTTTCTTCTATTTGATTGTTAAATTGACGGATTGCAATAAATTTAATATTCTGTATAGCATATGGTGCGAAAAATAAAAATTAAATTAATAATTTTGTCATATCATGCATATTGAAGTTTCCCGCGTTACTTTTTTCATAACGAAATTACATACTGTAATTTATAATTAAAGTAATGCTTACGTTACGATTACGAAAAAATGTAATAAAACATTGGTTTTTTTTTTCTATTGAATTTTATTAATTCTTAGGCTTTAACATTTTATTATAAATATTTACAATACAGGGTAATATTAAAAAAATTCTCTTCTTATTACAGTAGTTTTCTTGGAATAATTTTTTAAAAGTGTTTTTATTAGAAATGTTAGCATACAGTACCTACAAATAATTAAATATCCTTTCAAATATATTCTACAGTAACGAAATTTTACAGTATTATCATTGAGCTTGTTGAATTTGACTTTAAATAATTGTTTAACATGTGATTATATTTCATAAAATCTATCTAACTTATACATTTTAATCTTCATATTTATAAAATTCAGTCCTCTTCTATAATTCTTATTTATAATCTATATTAAGAAATATAATTTTTAATGCAATCATATAATTTTGCATTGTTCAGCTCAATATTTAGAGAATTATATCTCTTTCTTACGAAGTGCGAAACCATTTTTGGCTGTCTATCTCGTGTAAAAATTCCTTTTTTATTGCCACCAACTCGTATGTAAGCTAAACAATAAATTTAACAGCAAAGATATTTTTATTGTAAATTATATTATTATTCTTGAATTATTCTTGGAAAGGAATTTTGTTTTTTTTTTGCCTACTTTGTGCAGTCTTAAAATCTGCAAAGTTCCATATAAATTCTCCAATGAAAAAGCCTTGAGCTTTTAACTGATCAAATGCTTCGAAATGTTTTGACATTATTTCCACTTGATATTCTTCACTCCAAATGTACTCCGGTAACTAGAATGTAAAATATACATTTTCTATTTAATAAGAGGGAGTAGTAATTTATTATTAATTTGAAAAATTAATTGCAAAAAGAAATTAATAAATCTCTAACGTGATAGATGAATTTTTTTACACTTGTTTTCCCCCCTCAAAAATAGGTAATTTTTATTGTTGTGTTAATTACCTCGTGCAGTCCAGTTATAGAGTCGGCACCATATTCAGATATCAAAACTGGTTTCTTGTATTTAATATGCCAGTTTTGTGCTTCCGATACAATTTTCTTCGTTATCATATCTATTCTGCCTGGATTTGAATACCAAGCATTGTACCTATTGAAGCTTATGATGTCCAAGTATTTGCCTGCATTATCTTCCTTTTATCATATTACAATAGAAATTGCAACGTATTTATTATTATGTATTTATAAAAAAATTTTATTTTGGAAATAAAGCCGTGTGTATAGTAACTTAAAATTTATATCGATATCGCTTAAAATGAAAACTCATAATATAATTTACAACGTTTAACCAGTAAGATAATTTCATTAGTCTCTTAGGAAAAGCCAAGATACATTGACCAATACATTGGGCAAGCATGGGCTTAAAATTTAATTATATAAGTATAAGTTATAATTTGCACACAACATTATCTTACATAAAATTTATAAAGTAAATGGCCACGTGACTATTTGCATAAAGTCAAGATAATAATTATCTTCTTGTTTGGGACAGTTGAATAATCGAAGCTCGAACTTTAATGTGACTTAATGTCGCGTACGGAATAATGAATAACACGCATATAATACACAAAGCTATTTGCCAAAGATAATTTAATATAAACGGCGCTGCCTACGTCGCAGGGGGTCGCGATGGACATTGTAATTGGACGGCTCTTATCAAGCTGTTTAGTGTGATGGACTACTCGTTTGAAATAATCGTCAGCCCCGTAATGAGACGTTCTTGGCTCGTTGGCTATGGACCACATGATGACCGAGGGCCGATTTTTGTCTCGTCTGATGAGTTCCGATAGCGATTCTTTGTGTTTTTTCAATAGCGCCGGTGAATAATTTTCCGCGTCGACGGAGGGGCACTCGTCGATTACGAGAAATCCGAGCCTTAAAATAAATGAGATTGCTTAGGCTTTGCTTCATTGGCACTTAATGTCATTTATCAATTGGATCGCGGTACTATTGTCTTCTTAATATTGCATTCGAATCTTTTCATTGGAAAATCTTTTGCCATTCGTTACTGGTGTTTAGGCGGTATGCGTTGCCAAAAGCTTTATTGTTTACAAAATTCTTTTTAAATTGTGTTTGCTTAATTGTGAAGGAAGAATTTTATAACAAATTTAAGAGGACTGTGTCAGTCAAATATTATGTGAACCATAACTTTCAAAATTTAATAATTTTTACATTCTTCTTTAAGCTACATTATGACTTTCGATAAAAGAAGTTACATGATTAAATCAATCTTTAGATATGTTTAATAGATCTTTAGATATATAAATAATAGTATAGGCTAAAATATATACGATATGAAGATTATTTTTCTTGACACTGAGCGAATATTTTTAATAAATTAACGGTATAAATAATCATAATAAAATAGTATTAATAATATAATAATAAAAGGTAAAAAAAGTAATACATCGAAACAATAAAGGAATGGATTATATTCTCTAATATTGAGAGTATTCGACAATTTTTGGAAACTCCTTGTGTGTTTATTGAAATGCAGTTCTTGTTAAAGAAGAGAAATTTTACACAAATTAGCGATCTGCCATCCCGGGAAAACGTTATCAAATATCAGCTAAGTATGATCAATGCCAAACGACTGTAATGAACAACAAGGCAACTGACTTACTTTACAGCCTTTCGCCACTACACACCAAACAGTTTATAACCATTTCATCCGGATTGAGATAGGAGCTATAAATTAGAAATTACCAAGGAAAGAAGCTTAGCCATTATCAAACGATTATGAATAAGTCAAGAGCACAAGACTTATTAATCTACGTGCGGTCGAAGTAATATCGAAAAGTGAATAATCGACCATAGAACATTCGATCTAACGCGCGTTCTTCTCTAATTTTTGAATTTATATGATTTATGTAGTAGAATAAATTTTGAAATTTATAGTTTCGATTAATAATATTTCATTGAACAATGAAGCAAATAAAGTAAAAGTTTTCATTTAATAAAGTTGATATGTCAACAAGTACGTGTTAACAACATTATAAATCAACATTACCATTCAGAACAGATATTCTTGAATCATAAATTTTGATTTTTTATAAAATAGAAACGACAATAGTACCATTTTTATAAAAATAATATATATATATATATATATATATATATATATATAAATGAGTATATATGGCATACTAATATATGAGTATACTAATTTTAAATCTGTTTATTTTTTATATAAATTATTCGATGAGTGTCTGGTAATCATAACTTTCAACAATTTTTTACCCACAATTAAATCGTTACGATGTAAACGTTACGTTTACATGATATTATATCAAAGATTTTACTTACATTTTCTTTATGTATAGCGGCATTCTTACCTGTCGGCGACATCGAGGACCTCGTCACTGTACGGATAATGACTGGTCCTGTATGCGTTTGCTCCAACCCACTTTAATAATTCGTGATCTCTGGCTACAGTTACCAAATCCAATCCACGCCCTCTTATCGCAGAGTCCTCGTGCCTTCCAAATCCACGAAAATAAATTGGCTTTTCATTAATTAATAAGGAAGTTTCGGTCCACTTTAAACTTCGAATGCCTATAGGGAGTCTATAAACATCGCACTCGGATGTATTTATTACACGAAGTATTACCTAAGAATTATTACAAAAATGTCTTGTTAATTTATTCATTTTTGCATATTTCAAATTACAAGAAAAATATTAAAAAAAAAAAAAAAAAAAAGAGTTGATTTAAATTGCAACAATCTATATGATTAGAAAATTTATAAGCGAGGCAAATATCAAAATGACAAATTATAATAAAGTGTTCATAGTTTATAATAGATATAAGAACATTTAATTGTTAATTAATTATAATTATTCAATAATATTATTGCTTGACATCGGAAATTTGTAAAAGTTAAACGTGGTAATATATAAAAGTTTCGACCGCCAAATTTTTTGTTGCTACTTCTCATGAATTATATTTTCCCCACTTGTTAATTACATTTATTTTATCAATACATCTATTATATATATTATATCAATATTGTATTATGTAATATTTATTAGTAATTATAATGAAAAAAAATTTCTTATCGAGTGTGTTTTATATTTGTTATTTATTTATATTATTTGTATTGGTGTGTGAATGTGTTTTTATTTCATAACACTTAAACATTTTCGAATCGTTTGAAAAATAATGTTATGTCGTTATGAAATATTTATATTGTATAATCCGTAAACAATAGTTTAATTATTATAAAAGCATTCAATTGAATACGTTTAATCGAACGATAAATAATACATGTTATTAAAATTTATTTCATACGAATTATTATAATTACTACAAATTTAATATTTTCACAGGCCAATTGTATCGATCGATCATTTTATCTTAAAATGGTACAAATATATTCAAAAAAAAAAAAAAAAAAAAAAAAAAACAAACAAACAAACAAAAACATAAACAAAAAAACATTACCTCTAATGTGTACAAATAACCGGGATTGTCACTCATTGTACGAGGCCACCATAAATTTGGTAAGGCAACTTCAAGTACTCCTTCTGTACCAATCAGCGACTCGTTAACCACATATTGATTATCAGCATTAATGACATTAATATCACACAAACAGGCGTTGCTGTTTTTTATTCCATTCGCCTCAATTTTGTATCTGATTATTCCGATACCATTGACTATTTCCGTTTTTACAGTAATATCATCGATAAATACTTTTGGTTTCGAGTGCAATAGCACTGATCTGTGATGCAAAAATTAAGCGTACAATGAGAAATCGATGATTGTGCGTTATAAGATGGATAATTGGATTTGGAGTGAAATCTACCTGTGAATACCAGCATAGTTAAAGAAATCGAATGTATATGTCTGTATTCTGATTGTTCCATTATCAGAGAGCAGATCTACAATTTTTCCTTGAGGTACGCTATTTTGAAGGAGAATATTATCAACGCTAAGGGTAACGCGATTTTTTCCACCAAATGTAACACACGAAGTGATTTCAGCTTCAAAAGGCAAGTGACCCATTTCATGACTCATGAGAAATTTACCGTTCAACCACTGATTCGGGAAAAAATGAAATCTTCAATATCAATGGTGAAATTACAAATTTAAAAGGCATTCAATTTATAGGGATTTTAAAATATTGTTTTCTATTTAATTTTAAATATACATTACAATTCGATAATAATTTTCTTTCCATTGATATTTGGATGGTAGTATTAGTACTTAAAATAGATCATACCTAAAGGTACGAAAGATTCTAGGCCAATATAAAGTAATATGAATATAGAAATATAAATAATAGAATGCATTGGAAACATTTATTTTAACGGCACTTGTAAAGCAAACCTAATTATCGTAATATATATAGTCATTATCCTTATTAATTTGTCTTATCATTAATAAATTTGATATATTAATCGACCAATTTGTTGCTTATTATCAATGCTTATAATATGGCTTGTCTATAAATGAAATACAATTTCATCTTTAATTTAAAATCTTTAAATAATAAAAGACTTGAAAAGGCCATAAGAAAGCAGTGAATATGGAAACAACATTGACAATCTTAAATTATATATTTGATATAAATATTTCAACACAAAGTAAGGTCATGATAGTACTAACGACTTGTGCAAGATAGTTGACGGATCCGAATCTGAGGAAAACTCTTTTATGCTTCCACGAGCTCGGCACGAAAAAAGTCTTCTCATACCAAACCGGGCCCACGTGATCTCGCAAATTGCTCGAAACTGTAATATCATTATAGGACGAGGGCACTGGCATCTGCATTACCTTTCCCGCCTAACAAATATTTTCCTATTTTTATATATCACATAGAAAATTCACAGAATTCGCTCACTTAGCTTTTACCTTAGACAGATTTTCGGCGTACCATGATTGGATGTGACCTCGTTGCACATCGTTGATCGGTGGCACCAAAAAGTCCCAAAATCCATCGAGAGATTTGACCTAGTCGAGGCGAAGGAAAAAAGATCACTCGCATATACGATGTCGGGATGTCGTGAGATTTATTAAAAATGTTAAATAAAAATTTTTATTTATATCAAATCGGAGCATCTTGCCGAATAATGAAACGAAAAAAAAAAAATATATATATATATATATATATATATATATATATACATATATAGTTAAAAAAAATCTTAATAACATAACAGAATGAGATTTTCAAAAGACGTTTTAATTGATTTTATAAAATCAATAAAATGCTCTTTTTCGCTCAAAAAGTATCTATCTATAGACATACACATACACGCGCTTATACGTATGTATGCGTGTACGTATACGTATAGAAATATTATTAATTCATTTTCTTTAATGTGCAAAGAGAAATAGTAAGCGTACGTGAAAATATGTGCAGACATTTGCCAATAGATATTCATATTACACGATTACACTTGCGAAAGAGATAGTCATTGTTATCTGCCCGCCCAATTCTAGTTTATTATGTATTATGGTTGTTAATCGGATTATTGTTAAATTTTAATTTATAGCTTACTATTCGATTCTACTCGCTAGTAAAGGAAGATTTATAGTAATCGCCTCGTTATTATTGTCGTCCAAAGAATTCGAACTACAAAGTGTTTAAAGCACGAAATAACAAATGTACTGCCCGCGCGTACTTTTCTCGTTTCTGAAGAATTATTGAATTAATGTCGATTTTTAATTGGCTCCAATCGACAGTGCATTAAAGTGACAAAGCATTAAATTTATGAAAATTTTTGACAAAATTATTAATGTAAATCTTAATTGTATTAAATTAATTCTTCTTTGATCGATGTTATCAGCTTTGCAAACATATCCACTATCATCCGTATATGAAATATGAAAAATAAGCCATATTTTTATATAAATTTTTGTTAAATTTGAGAATTTCTATTTAACAAAAGTACGATAACTTTAAATAGTATAACGCCAAAAACCTTTTTTTTTTTTTTTGTTTGTTGTTGTTTGTTTTTGTAATTTAATTTAATTAATTTTTTATTTATTTATTGTTTAATAAATAAGCATATAAAATACAATTATTTGCATATAAATTTATACGTATATGAGGCATTTAAAATTTCAAGCGTAAAATATAATGATTATTGTGTTAAATAATAGTGTATTTAAATGTCCGAACAAAAGTATAAATCTTTGAGCAGCATTGCGCCTGTACGTTCAATGTAATTACAAAATTTTTGTTCGAATTTCAAGTATTATTACATATTACGAAGATTTATTGTCAGATAACGTGTGTTATTCCGATCATTAAATTGCAAAAATAATAATTCCTGATGTGGAAGGTCTCTTACCGATCAAGAGCTTCTGAGGACTTGTCTTTAAAAGTTTGTATTATAAAAACTTGTAATTACTCTTACCTCGCGCGTTTCACTTTCTCGTGGAAATAAGAGACCCGGGAGTGGCGTAAGCAGCAAATCGTCCTTCGCAAGGCCCGCAATCTCAAGGAATAGTCCGAAAATATTGACTAACGACTCAAAGCCAAACATGCTGTCAGCACTTGCGTCCACGTGCGTATTATTCACATTGGCATCGGCCTAAAGCACATTAAGGGATACTCGACCTAAATTCATTTTGAATTTCAGCGCCATCTCGATCTTCCCGTTGCGTTAGTGTCACCAATTGCACTGCTGGGCGATATAAGTATTCGTGCCTCTGTATGTGTATTACAAGGATGGACGAATTCCAAAATTAATAATACGATAATAGAAATGAAAGGCGCCTCTCGACTGAAATAATGCTAATTTTCATAAATATTAGGACTTGGTATGATTAGAAAGTGGCTGGAGTTATAGGATTATCAATGATTAAAGATTATTAATGCTGACATATATAGAAGGAAATATGTATATTTTCTTACATGAACAATTATCGAGTTAAGCAAAAGTGAGATTTTTCTTTTTCTTTTTGCAACTGACGTTATCTATAATTGTTTATTTGAGTATGAAAGGAACTTGCAATAAATATGTGTAGACGTAGCCGATAAATTAGAAGCTCTTGTTTCGAAAATCGCTTAATCGTTGGAAAAATAAAATAACAAAAACAACCATAAAATATGTACACGTTTGTTTAAGAAGAATTATTAAATAATTGTTAAAAATTTATAAAGTTACTCGTCAGGTATGTTTATGAATTTACAGACCTTAAACAAAAAAAAAAGAAGAAAACTGTATGTTATGGACGTGTTTACGAATTGTATAGGATAAGTCGATTAACTTATGCTCATATAATGTCGATCGTAATTTTACATTTCAGTAACAAAATTCAAAGCAAAGATATTTTAGGTTTTGCATGTAAATGGTTAAAGTATCTAAAAGAATGTTCTCGATTAAATATTAAATTGAGTAAATCTTGATATACGTATGTATAGATATATATATATATTTTTTTTTATTAAAAAAAATTGTATTAGACATAGTATGAAGATACATAATTTTCGAGATCTTTAGGTACGCAGGTTTCACCATCTTGCTCGGCGTTCAAAGCGTGATATCTTTTTCGTACGTGATGAGCTACCATTTTTGGCTGCCTATCACGCGTGAAAATTCCTTTTTTGTTACCTCCGACTCTCGTGTAGGCTGCCAAATAATTATTAACAATTATAAAATAATCATTTATTAGTGAAATGTGACATTAAGCATAATATCAATGCTATAATGATTATATGACAAGCGTAATAAATAATAATGTAGCGATGAGAAGAGTACGATAAATTCATTTGTCTTCAAGCCGAGAATAAAAATATCAGCCAATTAGATTGAATTTACGTTATTTGACTATTTAAAAATAAAAAAAAAAAAATAAAAAATAAAAAAAATAAATTAATTTAAAAAGACTAAGAGTATTCGCTATATACATAAAAATAATTCGTACGTATTTGTTGATTGGCATTATTATAATACAATACATAAGCGTTACACCTTAATGTTTAATGTTCAATAAGTCAACGTACTTTGTGCAGTTCTAAAGTCGGCAAAGTTCCAAATAAATTCACCGATAAAGAAACCTTGGATGCGTAATTTATCAAAAGCTTCGAAGTGCTTCGACATTGTTTCCATTTGATATTCTTCGCTCCAAACGTATTCCGGCAGCTACAAATTAATACGAATGTTTACATACTTGGCCAATTCGATTATTCGATAATCATGAGCTCTTTTCGCCATCCAGACTATAGTCTTAGACACGTAATTACGAAACATTGTGATGTACCTCGTGTAATCCAGGCATGGTGTCGGCTCCGTACTCGGACATTAATACTGGTTTATTGTACTTATAATGCCACGCTTGAGCTTCTGATATAACGCGATTAGTTATCATATCTATTCTGCCCGTATTTGAATACCAAGCGTTGTATCGATTGAAACTTATGACGTCTAAGTATTGGCCCGCTTTGTCCTCCTGTGCGTATATTGACAGTTTTAAAAAAGAAAGGGCATTCTCATTGCCTTAATAAGCTATCCGTTATTGTCATTAGGATCCATCTCGATTAAGGCAATTTAAATTTAATTTTCGCACGATCTTTTTAACAAGTAATTTACACATAATTTTGCATTTTTTTTTTTTTTTTTTTTTTTTTTTTTTTTTTTTTTCAATAGAACAAGAAGACGAAACAGTTTATTAATTTAAAAGATAATTGTCGATTGAGGTTTGAAATAAATTTTATACTCGGAATTTACGTTTTGTATAAAATTAAAATATATCGATAAGTATTTCTTATGAATTTTTCGAGTCAATCGAGCTTCGGTTGATAAAGTTTTAAGGTCGAGGATGGAATAGTAATCTTTTAAATAAAAATAATTTTTATATTGTTCTAATACTCATAAAACTTTTTAAAATTTTCATTATTATAAAGAATTTATATCAAAATATAATTTAATTAAATCATTGACATACGTTTAACCCAGTGACTTATAAAATTGTCATTATAATTAAGAAATTTGAAATTTGTCTTTTTTCCCCATGAAGTACATAATAAGCATTTAGTTTGTGGGACTTTATCCGTATACGACGTGCATTATAATTTCTGTAGCATTTATTGATGATCGAATATTTTAAAGCTTTATTAGACAAATTTTGAGAGCGTAAAAAACTAATAGAATTAATTGTAATCGAAGAGAGAGAGAGAGAGAGAGAGAGAGAAAGCGCATTTATATCGTCGTGTGTATGCATCTAATCATAATTTTGACGTTAACAAAATTTACACACTTTATTAATAATAAATAACTATGAAGTATAACCGAAAGTTCGTGATTGACAGGATGCAACGTGACGAATTGGTGAAACAATTGATCTTACCATGACACCGCGCGCAAGCGCAATTGTAATTGGCCTCGTAGGATCGAGAGTCTTTGTGTGATGTGCCACTTGTTTAAAATATAATCCGGCTTCGGGCAGCTGAGTTCTCGGCTCATTCGCAATGGACCACATTACGACGGAAGGCCGATTCTTATCACGTCGAATCAGCTCGGAAAGCGATTGCTTGTGTCTTTTTAGCAAAGTTGGCGAAAAGTTCTCCGTGTCTACCGAAGGACATTCATTGACGATGAGAAATCCTAATCTTGAAATAAAGTTCTAAGCTCATTACACGAGTTAACCTCCCGACTTTTGTTTAATTCGAGTTATGTATGCAACGGTTGCTTGACTCCTTATTTTTTATGCCACATTTTTACATTTGAAAAACATCGTTTTAGGCCCGCAAACTTCAATATCTACTTTATTACAATATTAGGTTTTAAAGGCAAATTCTTTTCATTTATGACACATTATACTTTAGGTAGCAATAGCGCCAAAGTAAAATGTACTGAATTAATAAATTATTTGCACTTAATAATTATTATATGATAAGATATAGGTAAATGTAATGTCGAGCCTATAAATATAAATGAATTAACTGGTAAGGTAACTGATGTTAAGCGATAGTCATTTCATCCACTTTAATTGATTATGAATAATGTTTGAATTCTGACTTGTTTGAGAGTAAATTTGAGAGCATTAACCACTGCATACTTTACTCGTTTACAACGTCAAGCATAACTTGGTGTACCTGTCGGCGACATCGAGGACCTCGTCACTGTACGGATAGTGACTGGTCCTGTATGCGTTTGCTCCAACCCACTTTAATAATTCGTGATCTCTGGCTACAGTTACCAAATCCAATCCACGCCCTCTTATCGCAGAGTCCTCGTGCCTTCCAAATCCACGAAAATAAATTGGCTTTTCATTAATTAATAAGGACTTATTGGTCCATCTTAAAGATCTTATACCAATCGGAAGTCTATAAATGTCTAGTTCCGTCGCATTTGGCACAATAACCGTTACCTGCGAATGCATTATTTAATACAATTTGGAATACAATTTTCTATTCAAAGACATGTTGTTATTAACTATTGAATGATAAATGTTATTGCAATAAATTTAATTTGATTAAAATGAAAGGAAAGGATTTTTTTAAGTTTGCCAACCTATTTACTATAATTTTGAGTATTAAAATCGAAACAAATAGTACTGTTCAAAATATATTGATATTCATAATAAATTATTGAAATGTATAAATAACATTGCGTTTACATTTACTGTTTACGATTAATAGAATATTGCATTGATTTATAAAAAAAAAAAAAAAAAATCGTTATATTAATAAAAATATCATAAATGTATTTGATCAAATTCACCCGAGATTAGCACAATCGATTTTTTCTTACATTCTAATAACTTAATAAATTGGAAGTTTAGAATTTTGATTTTCTAAAGCGTTGGTTTAACAAAGCTGTTGTTCCACGCTCTTCTCAAATGATAAATAATAGGAAGTTGGCTATTATTTTCTTAAAGCTTAAATCTTAAAAGCATACCTCCAACGTGTACATGTAACCAGGATTACTATCCATCGAACGAGGCCACCATAGATGAGGTGAAGCCACTTTTAAAATTCCCTGAGTTCCGGTACTTGGTTCATCAATGCTATATTGATCATCAGCATCGAGAAGATTTACTTGACAGAATGGAGTTTCATTTTCGTTTAAGCCTCCTATTTCAATGGCATACTTAATAATGCTTTTATCATTTATCACTTCTATATTGATATTGATATCTTCTACAAAAACTCTTGGCTTTGTATGCAGTAATACTGATCTACGAAGCGAAAATAGTAATTATCTATTAACGATTATTAAAAATATTAAGTCAATCAAGTATTAAAGAGCATTCCCTCGGGCGTTCATATATTCTATATAATAATGATTTATTTAAAAAAGAAATGTAAAGTGAATTAAATCTATTTTACTTTTCTTTTCTTCTCTCCGCTCTTTATGTTATACACACACACACACACACACACACACACACACACACACATATACATAATTTCTAAATATGTCAATTGTTTTTCTTCTTCTTTTTTTCTTCCCATATATAATGGTATCCATAATAATAAATTAGGAAAATATTAAATTACGTATCATTCTTTCGTAATTGATAACTTTGTATACTTTAGTATATATTTAAGATAAACATCAAATCTTAATTTGCAAAAAAAACGACGATATAAAGAATTAAGTAATCGCTTATAAATTGTTTTCGAAATGTATTTGAAAATTCGACAAACCAACAATTATCGTTAAACTGTAATGATGATTGTAAAAGTAAACGTACGTACGATTATTAAATAGAAAATATTGATAAGCTTCCAGCAAAGAAATGGAGTTAGTTAGTGGATTAGTTTCTTTGTCAATTTAATGTCTTGAACTTTACATTGATTTTATGAATTTGTCTATCCATATACAAAACAAATAATTTCTTTCGAGGATGCCAACGTATTATGAGTACAATATCATTAGTCACAACAATCTAAAGTTTGCACATTGTAGCTTTATGCGTTAAATTCAATAAGATATAACAGAACAATGCTAACGTTACCTGTGGATTCCAGCGTAATTGAAAAAGTCGAAAGTATACGTTTGTACTCTAACAGTGCCATTATCAGCTTCGGTATCAACAATTTTACCTTGTGGTATACTCGTCTGAATAAGGGTATTATCAACGGCCACGGTAATCCAATTCCTTTCGCCAAATATAGCTGTCGATGTTATTTCAGCCTCGAAGGGTAAGTGACCCATTTCATGGTTCATTAGCAGATGACTGTTTAGCCACTAAAGCGATTAAAGTAAAATACAATGAGCACCGACAGTCCTGCGTTTATCATGTTTTATATTTTCTATGAAAATTCTTCGTCGACGACTAAGTATAATAAGTCGTAGGATACTTACAACTTGGGCAAAATAATTAACCGATCCGAATCTTAGGAAAACCCGCTTCTGCTTCCAGGATGCAGGAATAAAAAATGATTTTTCATACCATACCGGACCTACGTGATCGCGAAGAGCTCTCGAGGTTGTGATGTCATTGTAAGACGAAGGTACTGGCATTTGCATTACCGTAGCTACCTAATCAATTATAATTAACAATTAATTGTTAAAGGTTTTATACAATTTTCATGCATTTTTTTCATTTAGATAGGGAATATGTTAAAATTACTATAATGTTTTAACCATTATGTCTTACTCATATACACATAACCCTTACGACGCTATTTATATTAAATATGTCTCGTGCATGACAATTTTCTTTTACTACGAGTATTTGTCAATATTCCCAACGACTTTGTTACGTTTCCATAATGAGATAAGCAAATTTTAGAATGACTCAATTAAAATTTTTATCAAAAAGCGTTATCTATTATTCCTTGAAGCGTTTTAAAATTATTTTAAAATTATGATATTTTTAAATGTTATCTTGCAAATGCACATTAAATATGTTGAAAAAAAAAAAATTTATTTACCATCCATGCTTATTTTATAAGTTATCCGTTTTATTTTACTACCTGCAATTTATATAACGCATTCTAACATACTTTGTCGATGTTCTTTCACATTGTATACGGAAATATGTCTTACCGTTTATAAGAAATAATTCGAATAATCAATGCCCAATAAAATTAAATTCATGATAAAATTATTCGCGCAAACAAACGCACACATGTATATATACTAATATCTGTATACGTGAGATAAACTTTTTTCAGTACATTTATTTACAATGTAATGGTTCATAAAAAGTTTAAAATTACTTTTGATAGGCTACTAGAAAACCATCCTTCTCTATGACCTTTTTGAAGGTCATTAGTTGGTGGTACAGTAAAATCCCAGAATCCATCGAGCGATTTAACCTAGAATGTAAAGGGCATATTTACTTTTATTATTTATGTTTATTCTTACGTAATAGAATTTGGAAAAAGAAAATAAAATGTCATAGCATATCTCTTAGAAATTATTCTATCTACTCTGTAATATAAGAACTTGCTTAACTCGGAATCTCAATATTTTACAAATATATTATAAGTACTTTATGAAATATTATATTAAAATATATAAGATATCGTTGATTAATATAGTTATTATTTTTATAAAGTAATCGAAGGCAACTAATGAAAAGCATTTTCTCTCTCTCTCTCTCTCTCTCTCTCTCTCTCTCTCTCTCTTTTCATCGGTCATTAAAACGCGACATTTTAATATTATATAAAAATACATTTTTAATTTGTAATATTTAAACATTCAACGGGAAAAATGAATATTTAGTATATTGTAGTTTGTATTGAAATTAGCGCTGTATAAATAGAAAATGAGACGTTTAAAAATAGATTTAACATTGCCATTAAAATAATGCGTAAACTAAAACTTTACGAGCTATTTTATTAATTAGAAATAATTAACAAAAAAGAAAAAAAGAAAAAAAACAATATATTTTCTTATTAAATTGTAGATTTTTAAATCATAAAAATAATATCATACATTCATTATATTAAATGGAATCGATGATAATATAAGGATTGAATCGAATCATATAGCAACAATATGGTTTTTCATTTATATGGTTAAACATAAAATTAATTTAAATTTAATGGAGATTTTAAAAGGATATTATTTCGAAGAGACGTTGTAATCTAACTGACATTTTCTCTCCAATAAACGAAAAAATATAAAAATTTTGTTATATATATATATATATATATATATATATATATATATATATATAGTTAGAAACGCAAGAGTAAATAATGCCAACGTTATTAAGTTGAGTGACCATTAAAATTTAATTATAATGATTATAATTTTTAATAAAAATTAAAATTTTTATTTTAAATTGTTTTATTTAAAATTTTCGACGACAAAGCATTGATTTCCGATGAATTTGAATAGCAATAAAAATATTGTTGCAATGATCGAATGCAAAGATGAGAGTGAAAAGTAATAAAAAAAAAAAAAAAACGGGACTCAGGGGCTAAGAGAGGAATATTAACTTTTGTACAGAATTTTGCCACAAACTTGCCAAGACGATGCAATCAATTGGTTTATTACATTTATTACACACGCGTCAATTTATCAATAACAAACGATATATTTTGCATCGACTCGTTACTTCCCTCACGAATCGCGCTCATTTAAACGAATAGTTATCCCAAGTAGATATTACGTACTGTTTTCGTCATTGGATTGATGTGCAAAAGAATGCAGGTATGCATAATGCACAGTACGCACTCGCTAATGCCACTGGGCATCATCGCAGCTCATAAACATTATAAGCAGTAAATAAATTAATAGAGAACTCGGCGCGAATGACTATTCGCACAGCCGCTCGTTTATTATTACCTCGCGTGATTCGCTCTCTCTGGGATAGAGCAAACCGGGAAGCGCCGGTATCGGTAGCTCCTCGCTCGGCAATTCCTGGCTGTGGCTCGAGGTGCTCGGGCTAGCCCCGGTCGTAGACGAACTGGCCACATCCTCGATTCGAACGATTTCCGAAGCCATCACCTCGACCTCGGCGCCCATTGTGAGCGCTGCTCCTGCGACCGCCAACAAAAAGTGCAGCCACATTCCGCTAGTTTTCCTATAATCCGACCGAGAACTTATCCACTAATTTCTGCCTTCTACTCTGTGTTTTTGTCATTAACTTCTTCTTTCTAGTTTCGTAATCTCATTTGTTTTTCTCCTCATACCCAAGAGGCCTATACTCTCTGGAATCTCGACAAACATTCTCTTTCTCTCCCTCATAGATTGTACAATTGTACTATTTGCATTCTTTTAGTTCTATCGGCATTTAACGAATTTGTAAATAATATATCAATAAGGAAGCACTAATAATGTAAAACTATTCGTTTGCAATTCGTGTCTTTGTCGTGTCTTTTTCACTTTGTTTCTTTTTTTTTTCTTTTTTTTTTCTTTTTTTTTTTCCAATAATTTTCTTATGTATAATAATAATTCATTGTTACACATTTATTAGTGCTTCCTTCTTGATATATTATTTTACCTGGTGCATAAATATTGCGATGTTTTTATAGTTTGCGTTTAAAATCTCTCCTCCGGCTATTTTGTATTGAATGCAACATAAACAATCAGAAGCCTTCGTACTGCAGTATCACCGTGAATTTTCATTACGTACTTGAAATCTTTATACGTTTCATGGCAAACCAAAACTTTCATAAATTATAGTTTTTATTAATATGCTATTGTACGATAATAAAATCAATGAACTAAGGATAATTTATCGATTCGTATCGAATCGCTTTCGACTAACGTAATTTTTAGCGCAGATAATGCAGTTATAAGCTGTAAATGTATAGAGAAAAGCCCACTTTAATACCATAGATCTTACACTCTTGAAATGCAAATTTAAATCCACCATTAATTTTGTAAATAATATGAATATATCATTAACATTTATTTCAATGGAATTTTACGAATTTTAATTAGCAATGAATTAACGTGCAATATAATTTTTATCAGCGATTCTGTTTTATTACTATCGATTAAACGACGATTCCCTCTCGATATACAGTCGAATATAATTTAATGAAAAGCGTATAAACCATGGAAGTATAAGATGTTTTATCAATTTTATCTATACAATAATAGCGATGAGAGTCAACAATTATCAGCATGACTTACGTGCACTATACTCTATTTGGTAATCAAGATTAATTTCCAAATTATCATATCTCACAGCTTGATCAACTAGTCAATAAGAATTCTGTCAGAAAGATCGATGACTTTGCCATGCACGAGATATACGTGAAATTATAATTTGAGTATTCAATGAAATAATCATTCGAGAATTGAACTACAATTATTATTAATACTACTATTATTATTGCAATTGTCTTATACACGTTTAATTATTAATTAAGAATCGAAAGCTACCACAAGTTATTGCAAATAGGAGAAACATTAAATAGTCGCGATAAAAATTATAAATTTATTTCAACATAAACGTCAAGCATTACATAGCAAATAAGCCTTAATTTTATTCATTCTTGTTATCATTCATTCTTCTTCATGCTAATACTTTAAAGTGCACTCACAGCATTCGTTAAATGATATATAATAATAATAATAATAATAATAATAATCATAATAATAATGATAATAATAATAATCATAATAATAATGATAATAAGAACAACAACAACAACAACAACAATAATAGTTACAATATAAATAGTAATGGTAGCAGTAATAGTTATAATAGTTACGGTAATAGTCATGTGATATTAGTGGCAACAGTCATAATAATAATAATAATAATAATAATAATAATAATAATAATAATAATAATAATAATAATAATAATAATAATAATAATAATAATAATAATAATAATAACAACAACAACAGCAGCAGCAGCAGCAGTAGCAGCAGCAGTAATAGCAGCAACAGCAGCAGCAGCAGCAGCAGCAGCAGCAGCAATAGCAGTAGTAGCAACAACAACATCAACAATAGAAATGATGTAAGTGTAACGATGCTACACGAATTATTTCATCGTGATTAAATATAATATAATAAATCATTAAATCCGATGGCTCGCCATTGAAAACAGTGCAATAATAGAGGAGCAGGAGGGTCACTGACCGTCGAGGTAGACAATCGATAGAGCACGTGTATATACATATAATCACAACTTCCTTTACGGTCGAATATCGTCAAACTTTTCTCGAATTATTCCTTACTACTGTATGAGTGATAAATTGCATAAAATTTAACCTATACGACCCTTCATTTTTTTTTTTCTAACGCTATCAATATCTAATAATCCCACGTCTACTTATTAAAACTACAATGTTGTACTTAAATGTCCAAGCACTTACCTTAATATCTCTAACTTTACGATAAGATTAGAAAGCTCATAATAGATGGGAAAAATATAATGTCCTTTTATCGTAATATATTGGAATAATAATAAAACTTACGAAAATCCAGCAAGTGAGAAAAAGCGGAGCAGCCGCGTGTCCGTCTTAACCGATGGCTCGCGTGAAACTGTGCAGGGCGCCGAGTTACGTGAAGATTAAAACTTGCCAGCGATAACGATCTCAAGTTCCTCTTTTTTTCCCCCCCATTTTTCTATAAATGAGTCGAACATTCGATCGACTATAAAGACAAAGACTATTAGAAATAAGATATTCACAACAGAGATCAATAAATAATAAAAGTATTGATTGAGGAGGAGAGAAACGTCGCTCGTGGTAAAATTAATAGTTAATAAGGACGTAGATGATTAATAAAACAAGATAAATAATAAAATAATTATTGTTATTTAATGACGAGGATTAAAGTCGTGGTAAAGAAAAAAATAATAATTCAAATTTAATGTAAACAGCCGTTGCGTTATGTGTCTCTCTATAGTTACACGTTATTCTTATTGGCTATTTTTCATTTCATTTCGTTTTTTTTTTTTTTTTTTTTTTTTTTTTTTTTGCAAAAAGCTTGAGCTATTTGATCACAAATGGTAAAAAAAACTTAGGATCATTCAATTTGAATGTATTATTTCTTAAAGCTTGAAAAGCTTGAAATTGTGAATTCGTCTCGTGTTTCTTCAAAACGATTTCTTAAACATAATATAAAATGCTCGATTTCTCTTGCTGTTAATTGTTGAATTAATTATGCACATTTTATTCTGTAATTATCCGCGCAAATTTGTACAAATAACTTTTTTTTATTATCAAACAATTAATAGAAATTTATGCGAATCGTATATACGCTAATTGAAATTGAAATGTAATTTACTAAAATTTTTCAATTATTCAATCGATGATTCAATCGTACAATTATCTGAAATGTCGAATGATTATATCTATTATGTACGTAAATAAATGGAAACCTTTTTTTTAATTTTATTTCATTTTTTATTTTTAAATATGTGACTAATATAAATATATTATTTTTTCATTAAAAATCGATGAATTTTTTTTTTCAATTTTGTTATAATTATATCAGATTTTATTATATTTGCATCGTAAAATTGTATTGCAACTGATTACAAATTTTTAATTATTATCACTATTAATTACAAGCGTTTTCCATTATTAATATATAAGATTACTTTTCGTCAATTACAATTACATTCAATTTATCCAGATAATATTATGAAGATCGATAAAAAGTAATACTATGCGTAAGTAAAATGGAAACGATGTGATTTTCGAGATAAATTTTATGATAAAATTTAATTGAAAAAATATATAAGAAACTAAAAAAACTCTATACGATTATCTATTGTATAATATATCGAAATATCGTAATATTATTTTTTTTTTTGTTTTTTTTTTGTTTTTTTTTTTTTTTTTTGTTTTTTTTTTGTCTTTTTGTTTTTATTCATTAGCTAAGTGAATGAGTGTTAAATATGAAATAAACGGTGCGGGAAAGAAATCAAGTGGCAATAAAAACACATTGATATTTAATATCGAAAATTCAATACAAACGACAAAGTGAAGATGGAAAAGGATAATATAAAGGTGCGGCCATAAATTGGAGAAAACCGCAAGAGTCGAAGGCAAGGGAGAAGAGGCAAAGCGGAGGTCAAAGCCAAGTTGGTAAGCTAGGAAAATTGGTATTCTATAATCGACATGAAAAGGAATTAGAGTTATATTATCGTTGGAGGAAAGCCAAAGCGATTTTCAGACATGTCATTTTTCTAAATGCCGCTCGTTCATGCGATTCATAAAGTTTGCATAAAGAAGAGGACTAGAGGCAAATGCATTCATAAAGGAAAGGTAATAATGAAAGTTTTTGCAGCACGAGTTACTTCGTGCCATTACTGCTCTTACTACTGGACATATTGGTATTGTGCTTGCACGAGCTTACTTTGCTCAGCACTCGGCGGGTAGAAAATCTCTCAAACGATAAAGTTATGGAAAAAATAGGATGCAGCGACTGGCCAAATTAACATACGTGCTCGGCTGCTCTTCCGGCTCCTGGCTTCCTTTCCATAATTTCTTCGAGTTAACGTGTGACTGTACGTACATGACGTTATCATTGTTTGTTTGATTTAAGCGATCGTTAAGTTAATATTTTGCACATTTAATATGAAGAAAAGAAGTTAGTTAAACACATGACTCCTATCTGCAAGTTGCATTGCTGACAATTGTACTGAAATTGAGTTTCATAGTCCAACCGATGACATTGCAATGAAAAAAACAAAGTTATTCGTTAACAAAAAAAAAAAAAAAAAAAACCTCGTAGCATTTATACTTTTCAATGCATTAAGATTCATATTCATAAACAAATATTTACTAGCTTCATTATAATGTTAAACTTAGAAATAATTGTCAAATCGATTACAACATGAGACTCAAATATTAATTTACAAAAATATATTTATAATACAATAAACTTGACTCATTTCTTACATAACGTTAAATTATTCAATAATTACACTCTAAATTAAAAAAAAATTCATACAGATAACTGATAATTGTGCGCGATAATACAATAATGAAAATTGATTGAAAATAATGAAATTAATAATAACATTATAAATTTACATGTCTTGAAAATATTATAAAATACAAAAAGAAAAAATAATATTCACAATACAAATTATTATGGATTATAAATAAATCAAAATTTGTTTATTTCTCAAAAAAAATGTTTTTGATGGATGAACGTGAAAAATACCGAGCTTCAAAAAAATGCAAAAATAAGATTTTCTCAATAAAAAATCGGTGTGTACCGAACTATTATACTTCTATTTTAAGTTTATTATTACTGCTTTACATCTATTATAATTAAAAAAAAAAAATATATCAGAATGCATGCTTTTAAAATAAAATGAAAAATATTGTTGTAATTGTTATTATTGTAGTTGTTATTTTTTTTTTTTTTTTTTAATAAAATATTGACTTTTGAATAAATTGTCATGAAAAAAGATATTTTTCAGCCACTTAACAACAAATTATCGTTGACTAATGTAGACAATCAAGATAAGTCAGACTTAATAAATAATGTTTATTGTGCATTCCGTTATTTTAGCGCCTCTTTTGAAGCGAAGCAATTTTAAATTATTGTGTGTTATAATAAGCAAATATTGTATTATATTTATTTATAATATTTATATATACTTATAGATGCCTCATGTCGTGATAGTGTTGGTAAATACAATAAAAGGTGTAAATACTTTGATAATTGATTAATTTGAAATTAGAAAATAAAGCAAGCAAAAAATAAATAACGCGAGTTAAATCGTCAAAGACAGACTGTTAATTGTATCAATTGAAAATTCGTAAGAACGTTGATCCCGATCATTTCTCATAACCTCCTTCAGTTGTATTAACATTTTTATTCTATACACGGTGTCTCATAAGTTTTTATACATATATATATATATATATATATATACGTATATATTACGACTAATATTTCGAATTCTGCGTTATCTAAAAACTTTTATATCGCCATATAATAGGATTGGTTGTCTACTGTAATATTTGTTATTAAAACTGTTAGTTTTTTTTATCAGTTGTATAATTTTTTTATTTTTCTAAGTTCAGAAACTCTTAGTAATATTGTCTATTATATTTTGAAATTTATTATGATTATCATTATTTTTGAGTATATCATTATCATTATATTTATTTCAATTTAATTTACGATAAGCTTTCCTAATTAATATGTGTATCAGTAAAAGATTCGGTTATTTGATAATCACTGATCGAAATTTAAAAGATTAAAAATGATTTTGATAGAAGCATATATTAATTAAAATTTTCTGAATAACAATTTAGAAAATTTTGCTTTTAACATTTTTGTAATTGAAAATCGTGCAGATTCTAACAAAATATTCAAAGCCTCATTGGATTGTCGTCGGCTAATCACCATTTCATTCTTAATTCCTTGATTTCTAAAATACTTATTTTCATAAAAGAATATTAATTAATGAAAAGATGTACTGTCTTATTGAATACACAATTAAGTTAATAAAAATCCGTAGCAAGCAAATGTAGCAATAAATTTTATTCAAACATATTATTTATCTCGAAATATTCTACCAGTACTATTAATAGTTCGGTAAATGTTAATATTTCAAAATCTCTGAATTCCCAAATTTAAATTATAGTAATTAACTTTCATAAAATAGTTATAATAAGTCAAAGAGTCAACATTAATTTGATATTATGTGCAAATGAAAATTGACACATTATATAGAATAGAATATATTTATGTATTTTTTAACAGCTCCATAATAATCTGGTTTGGTTGGTTTATTAATACGCATATTTTGTAATTTTTATTTTAATAAATGATTTATCGACGTGTCTATCATTCGTAATAAGAGTTATTTTTTCTATAAATAGTTGGAAAATATTTTTTAATTAGAGATACAGTTTAAAATGTACACTATATGTATATAAATAAATATATATATATATATATATATATATATATATATTAAAAAATTATATTATATAAGTTAAAAAAAATCAATATTTAATTTTCGCACTAATTCGCACTAATTTTATGCAGTGGATTGGATAAATAATAAACAATATGTATTTTAAGATTCTGGGAAAAGTTTAGAAATTAGAATTATATAATGTTATATCAATTGATTAATGTTTAAAAAAAATTTCGTGGTCTTATAAAATGATATCTTGATTATTTATATATCGAATGTCCCTTTGATAATCATAATTAAGCGTAATTAAATTACAATTTATATATATTCACGCATGTATTTGGAATTTAAAATTTTTTCATATCGTGTCAGTATATTCGGTATATCCTTACTGTGCACTTTTTTTTTTTAAATCATTGCTTTAATTAACCTCATTTAGCTAATGTCATGATACTTGGACAATTCATATTTAGTCTCTCTTTGATTCATTTTCTGATTGTGTTTGATTGAAAAAAGTTGAAATTTAACCTTGAACTCAAAGACTCAAATTTTATCATTCAACAAAGATCTTAAATAGATATGCTTCATTGTAATGAAAAATGTCCGAAATGAAACGAGTGAAAATGCTGTTTTCTCAATAATTAC